CAGGGCCAATCTTCCTCACCAAAAAAAAAAAAAAAATATATAGATCAGGTACTAGACATCTAACCAGACTATGGTTCAGACTATGGTTGGCTCCCTTCCACTAGACTACAATAATTGTTTGGCTATATAGCATCCATAGGGAATCTTTTTTTCCCTTCTTTGTTTCCTCATTGTGGAAGCAGAGTCATAATTCTGAGTATGCACTATTGGGTAGCTTTATGTTTTATAGAAATATGCTTTTTTTTGAAAAGGGAAAAAGCTTTTATTCCCAGTTTCACATAACAAAATCTTCCTAGGACAGGTGTTGTGAGGCTGGGAGATAGTTAAGAGGGCAAATGTGTGTTCTAAATGACCTGGTGGGCCTCAGCTGGACAAATTTCTGCTTTTCACGGTGGCATTGACACATCAGACCAGTGGTCTTATACAGTCAGCATCTGCCTGTGTTGGATTAAAAAGGCACAAAGCGTATGTGCTCATGGAACTGAGAATATCCGTAGACAGTTGCTCAGATTGACGAGGCCAGGCTACAGGGACAGTGGGATTTGACAGGGATGAGAGGTGCACATTCCTCCTGGATAGAGGCACCCTTGAGAAGTTCTGGTCAGGTGACGCCCCCCTGGAGCAGAGTTTGTCTGTCCCACTGCTTTGCCTATGCCTTTGGAGGAATATGGGCTTGTCTCATGGGTGTAAATGCTTCTTTCTCTTTTCTGCAGACTTCTGCTGGATGTGTCTAGGAGATTGGAAGACCCATGGCAGCGAGTACTATGAGTGCAGTCGGTACAAGGAGAACCCCGACATTGTCAACCAGAGCCAGCAAGCCCAGGCCAGAGAGGCCCTCAAGAAGTACTTGTTCTACTTTGAGAGGGTAGGTGTTCTCTCATGCACCTGCTCCTTGAGGGTGGGCTTCTTGCAGTTGGCCTGCTGGGGTGAAATTCCCAGTGACTGGTAGCCAGAGCCAGCATGTGCACACAGAAATTAGGGAATGGAGCTCCTGCAGCAGCCCTGGGTGATCCCTCCATAGCTCTGGCGTTCAGGCTCCATAGGGCAGCCATGGCCGACAAGGAAGGACGTGGTGCCGACCTTGTTTGAATGATGGATTGAAGGACAATGAAGGACCATTAGACAGTCTTTTCCATCCAGTGTCATCTTAATAGTCAGATTTAGAGGGCAGTTCCTCCCAGGGAGACCCTTCAGAAGCCCACAGAGCATGGCACATTTGGTTTCTAAGCACAGTAGACCAGTGGGTACCTAGCTTTGCTTAGTCCTCAGGGCTGGAGCCCTGTTGCCCCAGAGGGGTAGAGTGATGTGGCAGTCTTAACAGCTGCTCTGGACAGGGTTAGTAGCGTGGACTGAAGAAGTCCCCCTCCTGTACTCTCAAGGAGTCACAGTCCCTGTAAGTTATATGAGGCTGTGGCCATGCCCTGCCAGCCGAGTTGTCTATTCTGAACTCCTTTGTGGACCTCTGCACCTTCCTGGGACTCCTGCAGCTTTCTCCTTCCTCACCTGTAGTGGGAAAACCACAATAAGAGCTTACAGCTGGAGGCACAGACATACCAGCGGATTCATGAAAAGATTCAGGAGAGGGTCATGAATAATCTGGGGACGTGGATCGACTGGCAGTACCTACAGAATGCTGCCAAGCTCTTGGCCAAGGTCTGTACCACCTCACTCTTCCGATCCCTGGTTTGATGCCTGGCCTTGTCAGGTTCAGACCTCTGAGGATGGGAGGCACCTTAGGGGGCAGGGGGATTCAGCACCTGTGCAGCCCTGCATGCTTCTGCTTATGGGTCCACATTACCTTGGGCTGCGCCCACTGAGGACCCAGCCCTCTGCTGAATGTACGGGGGATTTCCAAGAAGAGTACTCCACTGCCTCTGCCTGCAGGGAAAGAACTGTGGGGAAAACGAGAGCCCTTTTCTCTTTTGTCCCATCCATGCATCATTCAAAGGAAAATAAGAGATTGTCTATGGATAAGTATTGAGATAGATGTGTGGACTCTGATGTCCGACTTGAGGGAAGAGCCAGTGAGGCAGCTACTGGTAATAAATCACAGTTTGAAAGGGAACTTTGGGTGTTCTGTGACCATTTTTATTTCAGTTTTTCCCACGTTGTCCCCCAATTCATCCTTTATTTGGCTTGGCTCATTTCCTTCAGGCCCATATCTGTAGAGCCAGGCTAATTTGCATGGTGGGATAAGAATTGTAAAAGCCACCTGAGGTGCATGTAGGTTAGAATCATAGACAAAGGTACCTTCTCTTCTCTCCTATTGCAGTGTCGATACACCCTGCAATACACATACCCGTATGCATACTACATGGAATCTGGACCCAGGAAGAAGCTGGTAAGGCAAAGCAGTCCCTCTACCCTGCCCTCTTAGCTTCAGAGGTAGCCTTGTCTACCAGCACTTTGCAGGAGAACAGGGACCAGACCTTGGTTATTGGGAGGGCAAAATCAAAACAAAACTGTCAATTTTAAAATTTCATTTTTCCTCTAGACATGTCCAAAATAGATTTCAGGTGCTGGCATTTTGTGTAATAGTAAGGCAGATATACTGGAGCCCCTGAACCACTGACCATATTTAGAAGGCGACTGGCTGAAAAGGTCTTTGGCCATTTGGGAGGCCAGTGCCCATGTTTTGGGAGGATATCCAGCATGCATGTCCCTAAATTACAGTGGACTTTTTTACATCTTTGTATAATTCTTCATCTAAGATATGGCTTGTTTCCTCCTATTATAAAGTAATTCACATATATTGTTTAAATGTTGGAAAACGTTTTCATCATCCATAATCCCACCAGGAAGAAATGACCACTGTTAGCCTTTTCCAGCTTTGTAATATTATTATTTCTATAATCAAGGTTATATAACATTTTATTGTTACAACAGTTTATTGTTGCAGCTATCCTTATTTATCAAACTGGTACATACCATTTTTTAATAGTTGCATAAATGTTCCATTATATGGTCGTACCATCATTTGGGGCATTTATTGTTTCTATTTTTCACTATTATGAATAAGACATTGAGGAGCATCTTTGTGCATAAAACTTGGATGTACGATTACTAAGTCAGATGGTTTGAATATTTTTAAGACTCTTGATTTGCAGAAGGGCTGAAAAAAATGAAGTATTCAGTGACTGCAGTGTCTGTGAATTTCCATTTTGACTTGTTTTTGCAGCATTTGTTTCCTTATATGTTGGGAGCAATCTTTTCAGTAGCTTACATTCTCCTTTCTTTGATGGGGGAGGGTGAGTGTGGCCTTGCAATTTGGCTGTACTTTTCAGATAGTCTTTTGATTGGATTCTGGCTCTGGGTACAGGAACTAGCACTGCTCTTGGAGGACAGTATCAAGGTTTTCTGTAGCTCATGCGAGCCTGAGGTGCTGCGTCTGCCCCTCCATCTGCAGGCCCTGCCCCGGCTACAGCCCCCTCTCCTTTTGACCCTCCTGCTCTACCCATACAGTTTGAATACCAGCAGGCTCAGCTGGAGGCTGAGATCGAAAACCTGTCATGGAAAGTGGAGCGTGCAGACAGCTATGACAGAGGGGTAAGTGCCTGCTGTGCTCTTGGACCCACTATTGCAGGCGAGGGAGGACTGGCATGTTAACAGGTGATGGGGTTATTGGCATGCGGACTGGAAGCTGCTGCTGAGAAGGGTGGGAAGGGCAGTGCTTTTGACTCTTCGGAGCCCCTTACCTGGTGGGTGTGGCTTTGGCTGCTTCCTGCTCATGGGACTTTTCCGTGCCAGCATCTATCTTGCTTCCCTGGTGCAGGATTTAGAGAACCAGATGCACATAGCAGAGCAGCGGAGGAGAACCCTGCTGAAGGATTTCCATGACACGTAGGTTGGGACACGGATGTGCCGGAGTGAGGAAGATGTGGCTGCGAGGTCTCCTGGCTGCCATAACTGCATGCTGCAGGCTCTTCCTTTCACGACCCCAGGCAACAGCCAGGGCACCACTCCTGAGAGACACTGGCCACACACTTCTTAGTCGATTTCTGTTTTCTTCTCATCTTTTTGCTTTTTATTTCTATCAGGGTAGAGGCCATGTTGAATTGGCCACTTTTCAGGACTTTTAATTCCCCCGGATGGTTGTTGGGAGGGAGGGAAAGTTTTTTCTGAATGACTATTAATAGTATTAGAGCATTACAACTTACGTAATTTTCAAAAGTTGTACAATTATACAAAAAAGGGCAAACCATAGAATTACACAGAACCCTTTTTAAAAATAAATTGGCATTGGAGTGTTTTACCTTCTAGCTATTTTACTTAGAATGTAATATATACTGCCTGCCCATCCTGGCTCAGAATTGTCTACTGCAGGAGGGCCCCACAGTGGTCTCTGCTTTCCAGATTCATATGTGTTTGGTCACAGCTAGAAGTCCCAGTGGAAGAGCATGGTTGGCAGGTGGGGAATTGAGTTGGCCTGTGTAACAGGCATGGAGCACAGGGAATCACATCATGCCTTCTGACTGGTCCTTGTAGACCCTTTTGTGGTCAGGTGTACCTGCCTTACCTTGGTAGTGAGGAGACAATACAGAATAGGGTCTTGCTATAGGGTGTTCTCATCTCTGACAGTGCTGCATATCTGTGGGCTCATCTTTATTCTTGAAAATGAGGTCTACCTGAGTCTGGCTACTGAGGCCACAGCCCACAGCCAAGCATAGATGGCCTTGTGGCCCTCTAGACCAGGGGACACGAGTTCAGCACGGTGTTTCCTTTTGTCTCCTAAAGATAGAAATGCACTTTTAAAGGGAATCATTCCCCAAAATAAATTTGTTTCACCTTGGTCCCTTCTTTTGTGCCAGTGTTCTAGTGGTGTACCTCTGACCAGGTTCACATGTGGCCATACCTGGCACTGTCCTGCTACACTCTCTTCTGGTAAACTTCAGGGTGAGAGTTCAGCATGGCCCTCCCAAGGGCACTGGTCTCCCTGGCTCAGGGGCCTTGTTTGCACAAGTTATTTTCCTGTATTCCTGTGTTACCTGGAGTGTGTCCGGCAGCTGCTCTAGAGGTTGGGTGCTCTCCCCCTTGCCTGGTTCCAGCTGTTGAAGGACACCATCTTTAGGGTCTGGGAGTCTGAGGCCAGGAGGGTCCAGGGAAGAGGGCCAGCTTTTGCATAGTTGAGTGCAAAGGAGCAAGTGGTTTGCATGATATCCTACTTGACCTGAACCTGGTCCAGTGGTCCTCTGAAAAGTTACATCTGTGATTCTTGGAGTTTCTTTGGCTTTGTTCAGTGCCTCTACTCTGAGGCTAGCAGAGCCTGTCTATACTTGACAGGGCCTCCTTGACCTCCTGGAAGAGTTGCTTGGGAGATCTGTGAATGTTGTGTTGGAAATTCTTTGATATCCAAACATTTTCACCTCAGCCATTTCCCAGGTGCCATGTAAACTGTAAACTGAATCACTCTTGAAGACAGAGAACAGCTGTGAATCTGGGGTCATGGGTATATGGTTGGCTACAGGCTCCCTTTCTACCCCCCTCAGGTTTTGTCTCTTCCTGTCATCTCCTGTAAGGGAGGAACTGTGGGGTGAGGTGAGAGAATAAGTTAGGAATGTAGCAAATGAACCCAGAATTGGACAGTGGGGAGCTAACTGAACGAGGAGAGTACCTGCTGCAGGACCTAGGGGTGGGATGTGAATGCTGTGCTGGCACATGGAAGATCCTGGTGTCTGGATCCTTTATCTCTCCACTGAATCTTTTCTGTGTCACCGCCATGGCGCGGACCCGAGTTGCAGCTGTGTACCGTAAGTCACACCCTGAGTATCCCTGGGCATTTTTTGGACTGCACAGCCACCATGTAGTGCACTTGAATCCAGCTGTGGCTCCAGCCACTGAAGCTGTGGGAAGTTCTGTGCCTAGACTACAGCATGCAGCCCTTGACCTGTGGAGAGCTTCCTTTTGTGCCCCCAGTGGCTGTCTTTCATTAACATCATCAGGAAGATGGGAAAGGTCAGGCAGAATTTTTCTGCCCTACAAATAGAAGATAAAGGAAGGCACAGTGTTTTCATGAATTTGCCATATCTTTGTTTTCTTTGAGAAAAAGTTGAGGCAATGTCATCTGCTCAAAGTTGAGTTGGTTTATTCAAAATAAACTGAAATTTTCTGATTATAAAAGTGTGTGTAGTCATTCTTCACAGGATCCAAGTAGCCTCCTGAGCCAACACCCCAGGGAGTTCTGGCCATTGAGCACCAAATGAGGGCCTTCCTGTTGGGCAGCCCCCTCCAGATGGCTGTTAAGGCCCCACTGCTCTGACTCTGCTCTGCCTTTCTTCCCTTTCTGGGGATGGGGCACCTGTGGAGAAAAGTGGAATATCCTGGCAGTTTTGGCTCTCCTCCTTCCCTGGCTGCAGACTGAATCATTCCCCACCACAAATAGATCCCAGGATTATGGTAGGGTCCTGATTTGAATGCCCTACAGCCCCTGAGCCCCTCATTCAGAAGACCCCTGGGTCCTTCCAAAGCAGATGTGGGAGCCTAGGGCCATGGAGTATGGCAGGGGGAGTTGTGGGTTCACAAGGACCCTGGGGTTACGAAGAGAGGACCAGACAGAAACGGAAGTGTTTGGAGTTTAATCCTAACGGTTGAGGACAGGAAATGGGAGTTTGAGTTTTGATTAAAGGGGTCCACATTTGTAGTGTCAGGAGTGGTAGCAACTTCAGTGATAGCTCAGAGGTTAAGGCTCCAGAGCTGTGGGCAGCATGCAGAGGGCAGTCAAGGCCAGAGAGGCCCCAGACACTCCCAGTCTGAACTCCACAGCTGCTCTGCTTGGCACCTGGCATACAATGGTGTGCAAAAGACACATGGGCTTTTATCCTCTAAGAGCCTGTAGAGCCTGTAGAACATGGGAGGTACAGATGGAATTGGTCACTAGTGAATGTTTTCACTGAGGCAGCAAGGCCAAGGGGTGAAGGGCCACTCTTGCAGATCAGTAGGCAGGGTACCATGGCCTTGGCACCATACCCTTGGTGATCTTTAAAAAGAGCAAGAGAAGGGGCTGGCCTGGTGGTATAGCGGTTAAGTGCGTGTGCTCCACTTTGGCGGACCGGGGTTCGCAGGTTCCGATCCCGGGCACGCACCGATGCACCACTTATCAAGCCGTGCTCTGGCGGTGTCCCATATAAAGTAGAGGAAGATGGGCACAGATGTTAGCCCAGGGCCGGTCTTCCTCGGCAAAAAGAGGAGGATTGGCATTGGAAGTTAGCTCAGGCTGATCTTCCTCACACACACACAAAAAAGAGCAAGAGAAGATAGCACATTCTAGCAAGGTCTAGAGGAGAGATTTTCCACGTAGTCCCCAGGGTTCATGCAACAATCTGAGCATTGCCTATGTACTGGGCTCTATTTTGGGCACTGAGGACACAGCCATTGATCTTGGCTTGTTAGACCAGTCCTTATCCCCACAAGACAGTCACACTAACGGTCACTGACTACATACCCACTTACTCCTTACAGCAGCCTTGTGATGTAGGTACTCTCACAGTCCACATTACATAGCTGTTCATAATAAGTAATTTGCCCGAGGTCATTTGTAGTAAATGGCAAAACAAAAAAACGTTCACTGTTAGAAGCTGGAAAGTAAGTCTAATTTTTGTAATACAGATTAGAACACAGCTCAGCACAAGGCTCAGATTTGACTGTATCAGCAATTGAGTATGAGACTGCCACCCCCATGAAGTGAGCCAGCCTGAGTGGTGAGAGGTTTAGGTATCAAAAGGGCCATAGGTTTAAAAGGCCAAGAAATTAGTTTATGATGTTGTGAAATTCCCACAACCAACAGCAGGTGGAGCAGAAATAGAGGGTGAGGCAGTCACCCCACACACACCTGCTTGCCTTGGGTTATCTGGTAGTGTTAGCAAAGATGGAGCTGTGCGTGTTAGTAGGCAAAGCTCAATTGGATACAGGTAATAGAATGTAGGAGAATGGCGTTCAGACAAATAGCTTAAGGAATATGGGGATTTTGTGGTGATCTAATTATAGGTTTTATTTTTTTGAGGAAGATTGGCCCTGTGCTAACATCTGTTACCAATCTTTCTCTTTTTCCTTTTTCACCCCAAAGTCCCAGTACATAGTTGTAGAGTTGTAGCTTTTTTTTTTTTTTTTTTTTGGTGAGGAAGATCAGCCCTGAGCTAACATCCGTGCCAATCCTCCTCTTTTTGCTGAGGAAGACTGGCCCTGGGCCTAACACCTGTACCCATCTTCCTCCACTTTATATGGGACGCCGCCACAGCACGGCCTGACAAGCAGTGCATCGGTGCCTGCCCGGGATCCAAACCCGGGCCACCAGCAGTGGAGTGCGCGCACTTAACCCCTGTGCCACGGGGCCGGCTCCTAGTTGTAGCTCTTCTATGTGAGACACTGCCTCAGCATGGCTTGATGAGTGGTAAGTAGGTCCACGCCCAGGATCTGAACCGGCAAACCCGGGCCGCCAAAGTGAAGCACAGGAACCTAACCACTACGCCACTGGGCCGGCCCCTAATTATAGGTTTTAAAAGGCTAAAGAGGAAATGGTCTTAACATTCATTTATGTGTACCAGAAAATCACAACATCTTGGTAAAATTGTGACTCGGTTGGTATTTATCATATTTAAGAACTTAGGAGATTCATATGATTTTGGAAAAATTTACTTGTTTCTATTGTACTGTTGTACTCAGAAATTGAGAGACTTCTGACCTAACTAGAGTGGATTAAAGACAAACTGCAGGATGGGCTGGCCACGTGGCTTAGCGGTTAAGTGCGCGTGCTCTGCTACTGGCGGCCCGGGTTCAGATCCCGGGCGCGCACCGATACACCGCTTCTCTGGCCATGCTGAGGCCGCGTCCCACATACAGCAACTAGAAGGATGTACAACTATCTACTGGGGCCTTTGGGGGGAAAAAAAAAAGGAGGAGGATTGGCAATAGATGTTAGCTCAGAGCTGGTCTTCCTCAGCAAAAAAGAGGAGGGTTAGCATAGATGTTAGCTCAGGGCTGATCTTCCTCACACACACACAAAAAAAGACAAACTGCAGGAAATTGGAACACTTCTAAATTTGTAGTAGAAGCTTCATCTATCTGAATCAGAAACATTTCTTCTGCAACCATTCCATTTCTTTTAGGAATTCATTTCATGGAGAAGGGGCTGGGTCCTCGCTGCCTCTGTCTTTGCCTCTGTGCAGGGGGAGTCCAGGCTTGCCTGGTTGCCTGCAGAGCTGTCAGTTCCCACTCCATATGAAGTGGGATGCTGCACCACTGGTCTTTGGTCAGCATCCCAGCTGTGGCTGAGACACAACAGCTCCCATTGCCACCTGCTCCCCCCTTGGAAACATCCAGAACCTGTCCTTTTGTTGGGCAGTGTTTCTCTGTAGTACCCTAAGGAGATTGACAAGATGGTCCCTGAGGGTGGCTGGATGAGTGGATGCACCCATGTGCTTGGACACTGGTGAAACCTGCCTTTGTGTGTAGAAGCTTGGAGAGAAGGAGGTGGGTCTGCCCTTGGAGCCCCTGGCCTGCTCTACTGAAGAGACCAGAAAATGCAGACTCCACTTTTCTGGGAGGAAGGGAAGCCAGGTGGGGGGGGTGGGGGGGTGGGATCTTAACAGGGTAAGGAGGAACCCCCAGTGGGACCTGTCTCAATGGTGTTGCTCGTCTGCATGTCCACCTCGTGGGGTGGGGGTGGGGGGGGTCAGCTTGTGCCCTGGGGCATGTTCATCTCTGCTTAAGGATAACCCAGCCCTAGAAGAGCAGGGAGCACAAAAATGCCCAGACTTTGGCACTTGGCCACTGATATGTCCTACCACCTCCATATTTGGCCATAATCTGAGTTTAATTTTTCTCTGAGGCGATGGTGTCTGAATTATAGAAAAGTCCCTTTCTCCCCCTTCACATGTGCCAGCTTTGAGACAAGGAATGCTCCTGTGCATCGGAGCACCTGCTGCATTCCTGTGGGTTACTTGTAAGGATCTGATCTTCCCGGTGCCAGGGCTCCTCCAGGAAGCCCTCTCTGATGGCCCCAGACTGGGTCCCACTGTCTATGCGACCTTGCAACATCAGGCAGCTTCCTCCTAATGCCTGACTCCTGCAGGCCTCCCCAGGAGGTCCAGACTGACCGCAGAGCAGACTTGCAAGGCGTTCTTCGCCTCCTACACTGGCGAGTGTCAGTGCTGAAAGCCATGGGTCCTACACCATCACCTGCACAGTCATCGGCCTCCGCGGCGCCCCAAAACTGCCGCAGTATTGAGTCATCTTTTGGCACTGCCTCGTCCTTGCTGCCATCCCACTCTCGGAAGCGAGAAAATGCAGACCATACTTTTCTGGGAGGAGGGAAGTACGTCTTAACCAGGGAACGGAGAAACTACTAGTGGGGTTTCCTTTAACGGTGCTGCTCTTGTCTGCATCTACATTTGAGGGGTCAGCTTCTGTCTCGGGCATATCGACGGACGATAACCGACCTCTGCAAGAGAAACTCCAGTGTGGGCCGGGGTCCAAGGCGCAGAGACCGAGCGCGGGCGCGGGCGGCTCCCGGCGGGCGCAGCATCTCCCGGCACCGTCTCGTAGTGACCGCGGCGCGCGCGGGCTCCGCGGCGGTTGTCCAGGCGACCGCGCGGCGCGCGGGCATCCCCGCGGCCCCTCCCCTGGGCGCGCGCGCGACCTGGGCGCCATGGCGGCGGCGGCAGGCCCGAGACCTGAGGTCCAGAATCTGCAGTGGGCGCCTCCTGAGCACGACGAGGCCCAGGCAGCGGCCGGGCTGGGCGACTGCGAGGACGCACCTGTCCGGCCGCTGTGCAAGCCCCGTGGCATCTGCTCGCGCGCCTACTTCTTGGTGCTGATGGTATTCGTGCACCTGTACCTGGGCAACGTGCTGGCGCTGCTGCTCTTCGTACACTACAGCAACGGCGACGAGAGCACCGACTCCAGACTCCAGCGCCGCGCCCAGGGCCCCACGCCCGCGCCAACCTTGGGTCCCCTCACCAGGCTCGAGGGCATCAAGGTGAGGACCCCCTGCCTCACCGCGCTCCAGGCCCTGCACGACCGAGCCCGTGACGGCGGCGCTCAGACCAGGGCCTCCGCGCTGCTCCCTGTGCCGCTTGGTGCCTGTCCCTGGCGCAGCCCCTCACTAGCCCGCCGCCGCGC